GTACTGTCCTTACTTGGACAAGCATCCCACTTATGATTAACCCCTATTGCAAGCATATGCAACTACAACAGAAGTATTAAGGTAAACCTAACCATATCATGAAACATATGGATCCAAATCAGCCCCTTACGAAGCAACTCATAAACTAAGGTTTAAGCTTATGTCACTCTTGCAACCCTTCATCTACTTATTACTTCCCAATGCCTCCCTCTAGGCCCAAACAATGGTGAAGTGTCATGTAGTCGATGTTCACTTGACACCACTAGAGGGATGACAACATACATCTCATCAAAATATCGAACGGATACCAAATTCACATGACTACTTATAGCAAGAATTCTCCCATGTCCTTAGGAACAAACGTAACTACTCACAAAGCATATTCATGTTCATAATCAGAGGGGTATTAATATGCATAATGGATCTGAACATATGATCTTCCACCATGTAAACCAACTAGCATCAACTACAAGGAGTAATCAACACTACTAGCAACCCAGAGGTACCAATCTGAGATTTGATACAAAGATTGGATACAAGAGATGAACTAGGGTTTGAGATGAGATGGTGCTGGTGAAGATGTTGATGGAGATTGACCCCCTCCCGATGAGAGGATCGTTGGTGATGACGACGATGATGATTTCTCCCTCCTGGAGGGAAGTTTCCCCGGCAAAACAGCTTCGCCGGAGCCCTAGATTGGTTCCGCCAAGGTTCCGCCTCGTGGCGGCGGAGTTTCGTCCCGTGAGCTACCTTATAATTTTTTCCTCGACGAAAGACTCCATATAGCCAAAGATGGGCATCAGAGGGCCACCAGGGGGCCCACGAGGCAGGGGGCGCACCCCCACCCTCGTGGACGGTGGGTGGCCCCCCTCTGGTACTTCTTTCGCCCAATATTTTTATATATTCTGAAACGTGCTCCCGTGAAGTTTCAGGACTTTTGGAGTTGTGCAGAATAGGTCTCTAATATTTGCTCCTTTTCCAGCCCAGAATTCCAGCTGCCAGCATTTCCCCTCTTCATGTAAACCTTGTAAAATGAGAGAGAATAGGCATAAGTATTGTGATATAATGTGTAATAACAGCCCATAATGCAATAAATATTGATATGAAAGCATGATGCAAAATGGACGTATCAGATATAAAAAGTAAGCGTGTGCATACGCCACCGGCCCGTCCGAACCGAGAAAAAAGGTCCCACATATGCCCCCTAGCGACTCGTCTCGTCTCGTTGTTTCTCCCCCGGAGGCTATGACCAGATTCATCCGTCCCTCCCAGCGTGACCAAGTGGAGTAGTTGCGCCACCAGATCATGTTGTACGGAGTGCCGCTCTTTGCCTTTTTTCCTTTATCGTGACCCCTCGGCTACAGACTTCAAGAGAGGATATAAAACCAAGCGCATGCATGCACCATTGACCTATCTGAACCGAGAAAAACAGTCACATAACTGTCCTCATCACATTAATACATTATCGAGTGTCCATCTCATTCGCGACGACCAAGTGAGTAGTTGCGCCACCAAATCACGTTTGTATGGAGCATCACTCTTGGCCACTTTTCCTTTTTTGTGATGCCTTAGCTACGGACTTCAAGAAAAGATATAAAAGCAAGCACGTGCATGCACCATCAACCTATCCGAACCGAGAAAAACTGTCACATAACTTTCCTCATCACATATGTCATCTAGTTTCTTAGTCTTCCCTGTTTCAACCTCTTCTCAACCTTTGTACAATGTTTTCTCATGACGCCATATCTCTTCGAGCATCCACATCTTCCTTGACTCCTACATCTCAACAAATCTCTAAGTCTGAGTTGAATAACATATTATGTTAGCGGCTTAGCACCATGAGCGTGACAATGTGGCTTGGACAACGAGTAAGACATATAACTTGGGTGTGGAGCCAATGACACACCCTAGCAAACACATGTTGTTGGTCCCAAACTCCCAATTTTCTTTGTTTCATGCACCCGACTAGTCAAATGTCAAGGCGCTGCATGATAAAACATTTTAAAAGCAAGTTGGCATCTCGACCTTCCGATCCAGGACACCAAGATTGACTAGAAGCCTTATGGATATAACCGTGTTTCATAGGTTACGTCTCTCAGTCACCTCAGGCCTCCCTTCAATGAGGTCCACTTTTAGGTCTCCAGCAAGAGCATACACATATCGTCTTGCTTTGGATACATCTTCCACCTCACCCTCACAACGAAGGTTATGCATTATCATCATCCTTGAGTTCCATGTGCTCAGGGCAATTGGAGCTTGTCGTGATGGTGCAAAGCAATGCTGCAATCTGGTGCTTGTCAGCATCCCCCTTTAGACACACATGAGAACATGTGTTGGACTTCTCGTGAGATGTTTCTCTCAAGTTTTTGTTTGTTTTGCAATTGATAAATCTTTGTGCGTTTATTGTAAGAGGTTGAGGCTATACAGTATGGATCGGGTTTTTGGGCTTTTGTTTTTGGTCCTCAATATGTTCTTAGTTCTTACTGACGCAAGAGGTGAATTTCAAAGGGAAAAAATTCCCGAGATGTGTGCGAGAGAAATTACATTCCCAAGCACACATGAGCAAAAGAAAACGAAAGAAGAAGAAGAAGAAAAATACAAGCAAAAAAATAACACCAAAAAAACATGGACAATTATTGAGAGCATCCACCTGGCACGATGACCTATGGCAACATCGCCAAGTGGAGTAGCCGGATAGGCGCACCTTCGGATAACGGCGTACCGAGTGTCCTTCACTCCATGCGATGGTGCCTTTGCTGCCGCAGCCCCTCCGCCACGGACCCCAAATTATAAAAAGTAAGCGCGTGCATACGCGACCGGCCCGTCTGAACCGGGAAAAAGGGTCCCACATACGCCCCAAGCAACCTGTCTCGTCGTTTCTCCTCCGGAGGCTACGACCAGATTCATCCCTTCCTGCCAGCGTGACCAAGTGGAGTAGTTGCGCCACCATATCATGTTGTACGGAGTGCCGCTCTTTGCCATTTTTCCTTTGTCGTCACCCCTCAGCTACGGACTTCAAGAGACGATATAAAAGCAAGCGCATGCATGCAACATTGACCTATCTAAACCGAGAAAAACAGTCACATAACTTTCCTCGTCACATTAATATATTATCAAGTGTCCACCCTGTTCGCGACGACCAAGTGAGTAGTGCCACCAAATCACATTTGTGCGGAGCGCCACTCTTGGCCACTTTTCCTTTGTCGTGACGCCTTAGCTACGGACTTCAAGAAAGGATATAAAAGCACCAAGAAAAACTGTCACATAAGATTCCTCATCACATATGTCATCTAGTTTCCTAGTCTTCCCTATTTCCAACCTCTTCTCAATCTTTATACAACGTTTCCTCATGACTTCATCTCTCTTCGTGCAAGAATCCACATCTTCCTTGACTCCTACATCTCAACAAATCTCCAAGTCTGAGTTGAATAACACGGACAATGAGTAAGACATATAATTTGGGTATGGAACCAATGACACACCCTAGCAAACATATGTTGTTGGTCCCAAACTCCAAATTTGCTTTGTTTTATGCACATGACTATTCAAATGTCAAGGCGCCGCATGATAAATATAACATCTTAAAAGCAAGTTGGCGTCTCGACCTTCCGATCCAGAACACCAAGATCGACTAGAAGCCTTAATGTGTTCAACGTGTTCTTAGTTCTTACCTGATGCAAGAGGTGAATTTCGAAGGGAGAAAAAAAAATCCCGAGATACATTCCCAAGCCCACATGAGCAAAAGAAAAAAAAACAAATAACACACACAAAAAAAAACCATGGACAATTATTGAGAGCGCCCACCTGGCCCGGTGACCGGTGGCAACATCGCCAAGTGGAGCAGCCGGATAGACGGCGTACGGACTGTGTGTCGCTCCTCGCGATTGATTGTGGCTTCGCTGCCGCTGCCGCAGCCGCAGCCCCTCCGCCACGGACCCCAGCCGAGCCAAAAGAGGATATAAAAAGCAGGCGCGTGCATACGCCACCGGCCCGTCCGAAGCGAGAAAAAAAGGCCCCACCTACGCCCCAACCCCCCAACACTCGTCCCGTCTCGTCGTTTCTCCTCTCACCCGGCGAAAGAGAGACCGCGGCCAGATTCATCCCTCCCTCCCTCCCAAGTCTCCCAAGAGTCCGCTGCGAATCAAACAGCGCCCCGCTATTCCACCCCACCTTAATCACACTCTCCGCCCCTGCCTGCCTTATTAATCCGGCTCCAACCCTGCGGCAGACGGGGTTTGGTGGTCGCAGGATTCCCCTCCCGCCGGCGGCTCGCCTCCCTCCCCTCCGCGCGCGCATCGCCTCCCCGGTTTCCTGGTGAGTTCTCCCGCTGATTTTCGCCTCGTTTCGACCATCTGCTTGCGGGCGGACGCCGCCGTGGACCATGGTCGCGTGCATTGGACTATTCGCGCGGTTTCCAGTGCTGATTTGGGATTTTAGCTCGGGAGTTGCGTCAGAGCTTTGAGCCCAAGTGGTTTTCGTGTGGGGTGTATTTTGGGCGGGGGGGGGAGTGGTTTTCCGTTGGGCGAGTTGGCCGTGGCGTGACGAATCGGGCGGGGCCAGCGGGGATGCTCACGCCACAGTAGCGGAACCGGATCCCCCGGCGGGCCGAATTCGGCGGCGACAGCCAGCCACGCGCTCGGGAATCGGTGCCGTCATCCGCAGCCGTCCAGCCGTTCGGAATCTGGTTTTCCCCCACGATTCGGTTCGATTCGAGGTCCTTCCCCCCACGCATCAGCCGCCGTGTGCTGCGCGGTTTTGCGCGAACCGGAAGGTGGTTGGTCCGGCACGGCGTTGTGCCAGCTGGGCCATCTTTGGCGCGGCCGGCGTCGAAAGCAGTCCTGCGACTTTCCTGCTGTCGCCTCTATATTTTGCCGTCTATATAAGTAAGCCCTTCTTTAATGGCAGAAGAATCGAGTGGGTCCTGCTCGTGAGCCGTGAGGGCTGCAACTGCGAGGGAAGGGGAAAAGGAGGGCTCGGCTCAAGTCAATCTGGGCGAGGCCATGATGGAGAGGAGGTCGCTGATGGAGGCGCTGGTGACGGCGGCGCAGGGAGGCTCCACGGACACGTCGGTGCTCTCCATGCTCAAGTACGCCGTGCTGCCCATCGCCAAGGTCTTCACCGTCTGCTTCATGGGCTTCCTCATGGCCACCAAGTACGTCAACATCCTCCAGCCCAACGGCCGCAAGCTTCTCAACGGGGTGAGCTTTTCCTTGTCTGTCCTCTCCTTTCTTTTGTGATAAATGCATAGCTACTAGACATATAGTCCCACCTGTGACCTCGAAGAATGGTAGCTGGGTGGTGTTATACAGACTAGGAAGGTGTTAGCTACTCCATCATCATAGTGCTTACATATTTTGACTGTTTGGTGCAGCTTGTGTTCTCGCTTCTACTTCCTTGCCTTATATTTTCCCAACTGGGCAGCGCAATCACGCTCGAGAAGTTGGTGCAGTGGTAAGGATTGTATTTCGATGACGCTCCTTACTTTCTTTGTTCAGCAGTTTAGTGACTCAGTTTTGTCGTGTGAGCTACTGACCGTAATGTTGTTACTATTATTAGATTATAAGTCAAAATATCACAGTGATTTACTATTATCGAATATCCTGACAAATTTTAGTCATGAGCTTTTGAGTACGACAAATTAGCGACAAATTTTAGTCATGAGCTTCCAAGTACGACAAATTAGCGACAAATTTTAGTCATGAGCTTCCGAGTACGACAAATTTTAGTCATGAGCTTCCGAGTACGACAAATTAGCGACAAATTTTAGTCATGAGCTTCCGAGTACGACAAACTAGCGACAAATTTTAGTCATGAGCTTCCGAGTACGACAAATTAGCGACAAATTTTAGTCATGAGCTTCCGAGTACGACAAATTAGCTCACGCGACTCCGCGTTTCTCAAAATAAATGCAAAAAAGGGTACCATCGAAGAGTGAAGGAAACGCATGTTGGTGGGTTAATTGGTTCTAGTTGAGTTTTAAGGGTTAGAATGGAATCGAAACAAGCTTTCCTGGACTAGTTTAATGGCAGTACTTCTTTCTAGTAATATATATACTGGAATATGGAAATCAGTAGAGAAACTATTTCAGCGCATTCATTTAATTAGAGTATTGTTGCTGTCAATATTCATCTCGTTAGAATTGTGTGAACTTTATCTTTGAGTCCATACAGTCCTTTTTTCGCTGTTTTAGCCTTTTCCGTTGGCAGTAACTCTGCCGTGATTGCTTTCTTCCTATTTGACATTTTCTCTCCTTTTTTTGTATTTTGTAGGTGGTATATTCCAGTAAATATTGTTGTAGGCGCCGTGTCTGGCTCCTTGATTGGCTTTGTGGTGGCGTCTATCATCCGACCTCCTTATCCGTACTTCAAGTTTACTGTTATTCACATTGGAATAGGTGTTTGTTTTCCTCTTTTTGAAAAAGTTGCATTTCATTTGTGATTCTTCTATCTGATACGCATCTGACCGTTTATTTTTTCTGAGACAGGGAACATTGGAAATATACCTCTGGTTCTCATTGCAGCACTATGTCGGGACCCATCCAATCCTTTTGGTGACTCTGAAAAATGCAGCCAGGATGGAAACGCGTATATCTCATTCGGTCAATGGGTATGTGCATTTTCTTTTCGGGAGGTGCATGTGTTCAGTGTTTTACTTAGAAGTCAGGATGACTACTTTGTGATATAAAGATAAAAGCTCAGCATTTATATCAGGAATATGAATAACTGTTCTGAGATCATGTGCTGAATGAATTCTTCACTTGATGCAGGTTGGTGCGATTATTGTTTACACATATGTGTTCAAGATGCTTTCTCCACCACCTGGAGAGACCTTTGATGGTGAAGAGGAGAAGCTTCCGGTTCTGGCATCTGAAGAAAACGCGATGCCTGAACTTGGTAAATATCCAACAGGCACTCACACTAGTACTGTACCCGAGGATGAGCCTTTGTTAGCTCTCGAGGGGAATCAAAAAGGCTCTACTTCTCTAGGATCAAAGGTAAAAAAATACTAGCAGTGATTCGTAGTTTAATACACTTTGGTCTTTTCTTATTCAATTTGATACAGTTATATTGCAATGTGAATAATTGTGTTCTGTTGTTACAGATATTAAGCTGTGCTAGATGTGTGGTGAAATTCCTAAAAGACAAGCAACTTCTTCAGCCACCAATTATTGCCTCTGTATGTATTGATGGGAGTGTATTCTATTAGTAATTATTACAGAAAAATATATCTGTATTTTGTGCCTTGGAATCTAATTTTACACTATGGAACAGGTCTTTGCAATTGGAATCGGTGTTGTTCCATTCTTGAAGGGTTTGATATTCACGGATGATGCACCTCTATTCTTCTTCACAGACAGCTGCCTCATTCTTGGGTATTTGCATCCTGCTTTCGGATTTCTTTTCAAATATACACGGACCTTGCACCAATTAAACTACAGAACTTAAATTACACATGATGACTTCTATTGTCTAAAATATGCTACATTTTCAGGGAAGCTATGATTCCATGCATTTTGCTTGCTGTGGGGGGTAATCTTGTTGATGGTAAGAATCTATTTTCCTTTGAAACTGTTGTGAAATTGTATTATACTGACATCACCCGAACCATTGCCATTGTATGTGAGGAGATGCGTTTCTCCAGATCTTAACACTAGCCCTGGTTATTCATCAGGTCCTGGTGAAGGGAGTAAGAGACTTGGTGTGCGGACCACCGTTGCTATTATTTTTGCACGGTTGATCTTGGTTCCAATTGCTGGGGTTGGCATCGTAATGCTAGTTGATAAGCTTGGTTTCATTCCCAAAGATGACAAAATGTTCAAGTTTGTCCTACTACTGCAGCATTCCATGCCCACATCAGTGCTCTCAGGTATGAGAAAATAAGGGACCACTGCTTATCACTTACCATAATGTTTAAACCTTTAAAACTCCAATAATGCTTTGTTTGTTGAGAAAATAAGGCTCGCTGCTTATCACTCAACTATCATGTGTTCATGTTTAATAAACCTTAAAATACTCTAATAATGCGTTGTTAGTTGAGATCTGCAAGACAGTGGGGCAGTGTGTGTGAGGTCATCATGTTAGTTGAGATCTGCAAGACAGTGGGTTAGTGTGCTGCATGTTAGCAAACCACACTATGGAATCTGATAATAAAGATCCTTCTGTTTGCAGGTGCTGTTGCAAACCTCAGAGGGTGCGGGAAAGAATCAGCCGCGATCTTGTTCTGGGTGCACATTTTTGCAGTGTTCTCCATGGCGGGGTGGATTATTTTCTACTTGACGTTGCTCTTCTAAGTATGCCGCTCCCTTGTATGTCTACTCTTTTCATTTTTTGGGCTCTCATCTGCAGCAGTGCAGATTAACGGCGATTCCTTGATGCTCAAACTACTCTTGATTTGATCTGCAGATACTGCATTCAACTTGAATATCCGCAAATAGTAGATATCATCAGAAAACATGGAAGAAGATAATAGTGTCATGAACTGTACAATAGGCCACCGAAACCATGGTGGCAGCTGCTCTGGAGGTACGAGTTGTATCAGTACAGATATGGGTTCCTCGTACCCGGTTTGTGTAAATGCCTTTGTCATGTTAATTTTGGCCTTGTTCCTCTGCCACTTGTCATGGCGAGGGACGAGAATCGCCGGCATCTGGTGCCTGCCCATATTATTAGGTCGCCCTGAAAAACCTTTTAGATCCGTATTTCAGATATATTTTGGCACTCCGTGATCCGTCTGTTGGGTTGAAAGTGTATTCTGTATGTTGTGTTGTGCCTTTTGCGCTGTCCTTGTGGGTCGTTGCTCGAGTTCAGATGGTACACACACAAGTGTTTATCACCGGGCGCAACCCATGATGGTGCTCGTACACAAGCAATAATGTGCACACAAACCCGTGCCAGCGACGCGTCGAGGCCTTGCACGTTGCCGGTGTCGCCAGCGTACCAGCAGCACGTTGCGTGTAGTACTGCTGGGACAAACTGTCGTGTTTGATCGCTCCATGTGCTTATTATGGAGATGGATCTGGAAAACCACCGATCTGAATCTCGTCTCCGGTCAGAAGAGAACTGCGTATCCGATGTCGATGTGGACGGAATCTCACCGGGTCGCGCTGACACGTTCGTTGCCTCGTGGTTGCGTCGAGTACTGGTACTATACTTGCCTGGTGCAACGGAATGTGCCGGGAAGATTCTGTAACACGTTAGTGCGAACACGCAAGCTAGAGTTGGATGGAGCGGATACTTCCAACTAGGCAGCCAAGCTGGGCAGTGCATCAGCGACGACGCATGGGACGTGTATCGTCCGGTGGCGGAGAAACACTCCTCACCTCGCAGAGTCGCATGGTCAGGTCAAGTGATCACGCAAGGCATGTCTGTTCGATCAGACGACACGAGTTGCCCGAGGCGCTGATGAGCATGAGGTGTGTCTTGGTTGCAGACAATCATTCAGATTAGCTTGGCATACTCTTTCCACGCACAGATGCATAAAAAGAACATCTAACCATCATATAGTCTCATTCGCAAAACACACGCACACGCACACGCACACGCCATCTAGTCTAGCTACTGAAATGTTGTAAGGCCAACTTCATCGTGCGATCCTAAACGGACGTCCGTTTTGTCCGGATTCTATCCGTTTGAATAGGGATTTAGGGTCGTGTCCGGGCTTGTCCTGAGATGCGGTGGCCGTGCGCCCAGCGTGTGGCCGCATCCGTTTGCCCCATCCTGTCCGCGTCTATTTAAAAAAAAAGATCAATGTTTCAAATGCCAAGCCCTAGTTCACGGCCTCAGTTCATCACGCCGGCAACAAAACCAGTGACCAACACGTCCATCGCCAGCGGCCGGCAACACAGTCAGCCTTCAAAATGAATAGTTGTCCTCGCCGACAACACAGCCAGCGGTCGGCAACACAGCCGGCCTCCAAAATGAATGTTTTCTCGCCGGCACACTGCCAGCGGCCCAGCAGGCGGGCGGCACCCATGCCAGCCTCCAAAAACAACGGCCACGCCGATCGGACGACCTAGTTCAGGCCTTCGGCGTCGAGCATCTCCTTCTGCTTGGCCTCGAATCAGGCCCTCGTCTTGTCGCTCATCTTCAACAAGTCCACGCTCATGATCGCAAGGGCCACCTCCTTCGCTTTGGTGGCGGCATTCGTGGCCTCGATGTCGAGCTGCCTCTGCCTGGCCTTGACGTTGTCGGCCTCGATGTCGAGCTGCCTTTGCCGGGCGGCCTCTTCCATGTCGAGATGCCTTTGCCGGGCCGCCTCCTCCATTTCGATCTTCCTCTTCTTGGCCGACTCCTCCATCTCAAGCTTCTTTCTTTGAAGGTCTAGGTATTGCTTCATTTGCTCGTCCTTGCTTTGCCGCTTCTTCTCGTCCCCCACATCCTTTTGAGACATCATGCCATGCAAAGTGTCATGCAATGCCATGGATGCGGCATCACGTATGTCATCAACCTTGGAGTTGGTCTTGCCCCTCGGCCTCTTCAACGCCTCGCCATCTCCACCTCCGGCGAACTTGGCCGTCTTCAGTCCTCTCTTCCTTTGTAGTTCACGGTATTGGTCCTTGAACTTAGGGCAATTGTTGATGAGCGTCCAACAATGCGAAGAGTGAATGGCTTGTCATTGTGCCGGCCTTGAATGCCTCCAAAGATTGAAATGCCTACAACACATGATCAACAAGAAGTGAACATGCAAACATATACAAGGCCGAAGTCTCATGGCCATAGCAAGGAAAGGGCTAGGAAGATGAGAGCATACCGTGTCCCCAACGCCGAGACCACTCACAGGCCATGCTTGAACGCTCTCAAATGCGGCTTGATACTTGTTACACTCTTGTTGGATGAACAACCATCTCTTTTTAATCGAGCCGATACCACGGTTGCTTGTAATTTGGTAGGGCTCAAACATCTTCCTTTCATTGAATGTTTTGTGGTCTCTCGTCCAAAAAACAATGCCCTTTTGTTGCGCGCCGGTCCTCAGATCTTGGTTAATCTCCATCCAAGCTTTGCCAATCAACTTGTCCTCATCTTGTGTATATGAACCCATGCGAATGCTCTTCCTCTTCTTTTGTGCTTCCGCTCTTTGGATGAGCTCGTCGATGAACAATGGCTCGCCACTAATATCAACGTCATTGCCTTCTTCTTCATCACCATCACCTTCGACATAGATGTCATCGTCTTCATGCCACGAGTCACCATGGTCGTAGTCAGCACGGTCGTCGGCCTCTTCATCGGGCACGTACTGGGCACGGCCATCCTGACTTTGGGTCTCCTCGGGGTTGTAGGCACGGCCATGCCCACCCTCGAAGATCACGTCCTCCA